CTCTACCACTCAACCCACAACTTACCAACCAAACAAAATTACTAGTTTGCAATAAACGTCATGACAAATTGAATAGAAAATTGACATCCCACATCAAGATTGAATCAACGGAATTCCTTCTGAATTTTTCCCCCAAAAAACAGGAAACCCTAATTGAGCAACCATCTAATCGGGTCATTAAAGAATAAAAATATAGCAACCGCTTAAGCCGATCAAATCACAGGATAGGGATCGATGAAAATAATAAATGTAACGGGAAAATGAACACAGAGACAAGCAACAAACACTAACCCTAGATCTAAGCGTTAGCCCAAATCAGATTGGTAGGAATTCGAATATGGGATGAAGAAATAGAATAAGAGTGGAAAAAATCTTACGTGAAATTGGGAGTGGCTGGAGCTCGACAATCACGTCTGGGAAAGCTGGCAATGCCGAGGGCTGGGAGAAGTTCGTAGAAGAAGGTGAAAATGAGATGGAGATTTATAGTTCAATACCGTATACTCACACTAGGTAGGTCCCGTCCGGTTATATCGGTACAGCCCGTTGCAGTCAACGAATATGGTTTTGCCATATGTCATCCACGAATATTTAATTTTATGGTGTATTTACAAATCAGGAATTGAATTCCAAGTATAGAGGATTCCTATATTTATTTCACATTAAGGAATTAAAAAGTAACCCTAATACCTCATTTGGTTCATGAGAAAGGGAGCTTGGGGATGAGAAATCAATTGCTTTCCCATGTTTGATAAGTCAAGACATGAGAAATCGTTGCCTTGCACATGAGAAAGTAGGGGAAAAGTGAAGCCCTCCTCCCCTCATGAGTTTTATTTTCCTCCTCATGAGAAAGTTTAGGAAAATGAGCCAACATTAAATACACTTTTTTCATGACTATATTGTCTTCATTAACAATTTAGAATTATAATATAGCATTAAATGCATTCCTTTTTTATTTGATTTCATATGGGTATAATTGGAAAATTAAAAAACTTTGTTTTACATTCCTACACAAACCAAACATGTAAAAAGAAATAAAGTGGTATTTATTGATTACTTTCTCAAGATTACCAAACATGGGAAAAGAATTTCCATTTCCCATTCCTTAGGAAATGACATGGGAAATAATTTCCCCTCAAATCATTATTTGCTCTCGTTAGTGGAATCCAAATGTGAAACTCTAAATAGGACCTTATTGAGCAAAAATGTGAATTTTAAGACTACAATGAACTATATTTTGATAAAAAAATACATGTTTAACAAAATTTTTGTTAGAATACTTTTAACGGAAGTTTTATGAGAATGCGACATTATAGACTAAAAATAAAGGACCATGGTTTGACAGTTTTAAGGCTAAAAGAGGACTTTAAAAAAAATAAATAAATGACCAATGAAAATCCAATTATTTTTTTAAGTTGATTTGACACCGTTTTACTTAGGGGTGGGCATCAATCCGATTGAACCAATGAAATCGGCCGATTCAAACCGTAATTATGGTTAAATACTGCACCGGATTGTATATGATTTGGTTTAATTTTACGCTTTTGTAAATTGGTCTAAACCAAACCAAACCATTTATGTGTATATTTATTTATTTATATTATATTTTACATGTGTAATACTTTAATTAGACAATAACTATATATTTATATTTGAATTGAGCTATATTAGTTATTGAAATTTGAAGTTTTATGGCATGTTGAGCTTTAGGATGTTTGCGTACTCTAGAAAATGATTTTTTTTTTTTTTTGGGATGAAATACTCTAAAAAAGAATTTAAATATGAAGCAAGTTATGAATTTATTGATTATAATTGGACTAACAATATTAAAGTAAAAGCAATCCAATCCGAACCGTGCCAACCCCTATTCTTACTCACTCATTACTTGGGGATTAAAGAGCATTCATGCCTCTAAATAAGAAATAGTGACCGTAAAGCATCGTAGAAAGGGGTTTTTTAATTTATTTTTTAAGGTATATTTTTGTTGAAAGCTTTAAAGAAGAAAGGGAATTTTATCCAGTACAACTGCGGCAGGACATATCAACCTTCTCTTTCTTTTTCTTTGGAGCTCTGAAAATGGCGCAACCTCAGTAGCCATCATCTTCCTTGTCCTTCTTCCTCCGACTTTTGCAACAAAATGCGCTCAAAGGACAAAATCGCCTACTTTTACGACGGTACACTTCTCTCTCCTCCTCCAACCGTAACCCCTCACCCCAGCAAAACTTTCTCTGCCTCTTTGTGCTTCATAATCCCTTTTGGGTTTTCTTTAAGTTATGGATTATAGCTTTTCTTCGAACATTTAGTTTTTGTAATCATATAATTATGGAAAGTTGAGAAATTTAGTTTCACAATAAAAATGGGTATTGCAGGGGATGTGGGTAGCGTCTACTTTGGACCGAACCATCCCATGAAACCACACCGGCTATGTATGACCCATCATCTTGTCCTCTCATATGACCTCCACAAGAAGATGGAAATTTATGTTAGTATCCCATAGTACTTCTAAATTTGTTTTTGTTTTCATTTATTTCCACTTTTGTTATTGTACTGAGTAATAACTGGTTTCATTTTTTGTGTCATTGGGTATGCAAGTTTTGGCTTTAAGTATCAATCTTTTTGTTGATTATTATCGCGTTTCTCAGCGGCCCCATAAGGCATATCCGGTGGAGCTTGCGCAATTCCATTCAGCTGACTATGTCGAGTTTCTGCATCGGATTACGCCCGACACACAGCACTTATTCTCGAATGAACTGGCAAGATGTATGACTCTTGGATATGTATATATTGTTATTTTTTGCTTGTATGTGTGCATAGATTGTTCTTGTTATGAGCTTCAACACAAAAAAGTTAAGTGAGGGTATTTCGCCAGAGCTGTAATAGAAAATTTGATCATGAGATAGGATTGTTCACTGCACTTACAGAATACTAAAAAGAAGAAATCATGATTGACCCTTTTATGCAGAGATGGGGAATTTTAGAACTTCCTGAGGGAACGGTTGAGCAGAAGTGGTGGAGTCAAAATCAGTTGGATGATCTTTGACCGTGTTTCTGGTTTCTGATTTCTGGCATGGTCAACTTTAATGTTTAACAAGTTATTAAACCACAATATTAAAGTTCTCCTTGACCCTTTTAATGCTTACTTACTCTTATGCGATTTAATGTTATCACGATCTGGTGTTAATCAACAGTCCATGTTAATTAGTTTAATTTAGGTTTTGCAGAACGGAAATTTCATTGACTGCACAGTTAGGTTCTGGGAATCACCAATTCAAAATGCTTGTTATACCTTTCTGAGTTTTTGCTGTAATGGAGGATGCTCAAAAAAACCTCTGATTGGCTCTTGAACATAAATTTTCAGTTATTCTTCTCTTTGAGTGGCTCTCTTTTGCTTCCCGCATGAGCACTTCAAAGATCTAACTTGGCTGCAGTCACTGGAATCTCTATCTAATGTGCTTGTTTAATTTACGGATTCTTTCTGTCTTTCACTATGCCAGATAACCTTGGAGAAGATTGCCCTGTATTTGATAACTTGTTTGAATTTTGTCAAATTTATGCCGGTGGAACAATAGGTAATTCTTGTTATATGATGTCAAAAGTGTGGGTTCTAACTATTCTGCCATATACTGATTGAATTTTCTTTTGCAGACGCTGCACGTAGGTTGAACAATAAACTTTGTGACATTGCTATAAATTGGGCTGGCGGACTACACCACGCCAAGAAGTGCGAGGCATCTGGATTTTGTTACATCAATGACTTGGTCTTGGGGATCTTGGAGCTTCTAAAACATCATGCCCGAGTATTGTACATTGACATAGATGTGCATCATGGTGATGGCGTAGAAGAAGCTTTTTATTTTACTGATAGGTACATAACCTGTATATTATAATATGTTTAAGGAAAGTGATAGTTGAATAACACTATAATTATGACAATAATAAAGCTAACCTTACTGTTAGCAAAATTACCTCAAATTTGTAGATGCAATAATAGATGTACAATATTTGATTGTGTTGATATAAGTTTAATGCCTTTTCTGGACAATTTTTAACTTGCTAATTGTTGCATCTGTGATGTTGAAACTACAAGCGAAAGGGTGTTGGTAATAAGAGATAGAATTGTTGCTGGAGAAGATAAAAGTTTGCATTCCTGTATGTAATATACTATTTATAGATGCACAAATTAGTGTTTTAATATACTATCTTTTGCATATGGTATTTGGGAATTTGGTCCAATAATGAATTGTTAAATCTTCGTA